CATCATTAGCTATAGATCTCAGGAAGCACGCAAGCACATTGATGTGCGCAGAAGCCCATAACATGCTCATTGTTCGAGTAACTGCGAGGGTGGTATGGGACCAAGAAGGACTCAAAGTTGTGTATTAAGAGGAACGTGACACACGATTTATACGGTAGCACAATAGGCCAGTTTCATAGGAGCAAATTGCGCCTTAAACTTAAGTAACGCCTTCAGTATACTTCGAGTAACTCCTCAAGTGGCTTCTAACCTTCGAGCGCCTTAAGTGTCCTTGTGAAACTGGCCCAATAGTATAGGTTAGTGACGCGGTGAGAGATTAGTGGCGCGGCGAGGAATTAGTGGCATCACGGGCGTAGATACCCAAACAAGCCCTTGGAAATGGGTGCCCGAATGTTGTAACTGAGATATCCGAGCCGCTCATAGGTGTTCTGTAGTCGTTCCCTGGGAAGCTCAGAGCTGTCAAATTATTTTGCTTTGGGCCGGATCATTTCAGTGGTTGAGGCTCCCGTTGTTAGTTGCCTATGTTGGAGCCATTTTAACTGCACTGTTGTGGCCTTGTCTTCTCTCAGCGGTTGATGGAATGTCGTGATGACCCCACTGTGAGCATCCGTCCAGCCCTGATGTCAAGTGAGTGCTGTCGGGCGTCGCTGTTACTATTTCTACCCATTGTGCGTGTGGGCATAGCTAATCTTCCATCCTCTCTGCAGTGTAGGACCCGACCCATACTCGGAACGGCTATGTGTCGATCCCCCACTCCAAGAGCATCCCCTGTGTTTCTAGAAAACACGAGACCACGCGCACAATATCGCCGGTTGTCACACGTGCTCGATTGGCCCCGCTCAATGCATCCTTTCCCTGAGGCATTGTCTGTTAAGTCTTTTCGGCATCGTTACGGCTTACGACTCTACATTTTTTCTGTGTAGCCTCTCATTTCCCATCTGCTGAAGCCCAACTCACACAACCTATTTGAGACACCATCCTCAAACAGCTGACATATAACCAACTCATTTGCTTGCTCACTTCATGCGATTTGTAGTTTGTGCTCACCATGGACACCGTTCATATCGAGAACATTGGAATCGTCGCTCCCCTGGTCTTCATCATTGCGATGCTGTGTATGCCACCTGGAGTGGGCGGAGGTATTCTCTTCGTGCCTCTACTGAATCTGGTGGGACGCCTTCCGTCCAAGAATGCAACTGCGATGAGTCAAGGGCTTATAATGTCGGCTACGGTCGCTAAGGTAAGGATGTACTTTGCCCTTGAGGATAGACATTTATATTTTCAAGGTCCTTTTCTCTCTGCACGCGCAATATACCTCAAGGCGTAGAGGTAGAGTGATCAATCTACCGTATGTGGTGCTCATGTTGCCATGCATGATAGTCGGTGGTTTAATCGGTATATATATTTACTCCTGGTTACCCGTGCTCATCCAGCTGATTCTCTACGTTATCACGGCACTCTTCGGATCGGCTATGTCATTATTAAAGGGCTTCCATTTATGGCGAGCAGAAACATCAGAGAAAGAAAAAGCGAAGCGAGATGCGGAAGTCTCTGCAGGGGGCACTCTCAAAGTGCCAGCTTCGAGTACAGTTGAAACGGTCGTACCACCGCTACTGCGGCCGATAACGAGGCGCAAGGCTGTGGCCTGCGTGATCACCATCTTCGCCGTATGGATATTGGTGATCTTGTCTAGACTTATCCTAGGATCCTCTTCAACTAGAAGTAGGCCACTATTTACCTTAGAGCTCCACTATCACTGTTGCTAGGTATAGTTGGTATATCCTATTGTGAAGGCTTGTACTGGGCTCTCTCTGTTGTTGTCGTTGTGGTTCTCTTGATGGTTCCACTTGCATACGCGCTGATCGACCGATCGCCTGGATCTTCGAAAGCTGCATTGACCTTGTCTGGATCGTTGCTAGGTGAGCACTTGAAACCCGAAGTTCCTAGTAGATAGTCGCCGACGTTCCTGCCTTCGACGTTTCCTAGTAGATCGGCACAAGCTGGGATCGCTCCGTGATCCACCTTCTGTCAGGTATTGGTTTTTTAGCAGCAGTAGTGGGAATCAGTGGCGGTATCATCATTACTCCGTTGGTCATGTTCACCGGCTTGACACCACCTCAGGCATCAGGCACTGGCTCAGTGGTCATTCTAGTTAACAGTTCGAGTAAGGGCATGTCCCTCAGGGTCTCTTGATAGCACGTATTGCTCAGGCCTTGCCCTCTCCTTTGGCCTTGGTGGATATCTACCTGATGCATCCGCCCTTTGGATCATCGCTCTTCCCTTCTGCGGTGCTCTTACCGGCGATATAATTCTAACGAGGATCATGCGACGAACAGGACGCACGAGTATCCTGGCTTTTCTACTGTCCAGTCTTGCCGCTCTCGGGGCCATAATAGTGCTGATTACAGGAATAATATCGATCGTGAACGATAGCAACACCGGGGCCAGTCCCCTATCAACGGGCAGCTTTTGCTAGTCGCACTGGCAAATTCAGTGAGTCGCTAGCTGTATACCCATTCTCTCTTTTTTACACGTATGTTTTGGCCCTGTCGAGTATAATTTCAACTGACATTATTGTCAGGAACTTTTTTGTATTCTTTTTTTGTCTTATCTGAAAAAAACCTGAACGCTTTGCGCAAGCTAGTGTTGGACACTTGTTCCTGGGATGAACGTGGATACCTGAGAGTACAGACTCCGAGGTGCTCTACATAATTCAGAAATCGATTCGGCAAATAGTATCGCGCATAAGGATTGCGATGTCCTGACTGAGAAAAGCAATTCCGCCGAAATGGACATCAATTTCGGAGGACAACTTTGGACTGCCCCTAGTGATCCTTTCAGTTCCTAGGGGGATACCTTAGAGCTAGGATTCTAAGCCTAGGAATTCTTTATGCTCTTCAAAAATAAAAGTTTTACGGAGAAGTTTTAAAGAATTGCTCCTAACGGAAAGAACGGTAAGATTTTCCTCCTCGAAGGTACGCTTGACGGAGCAACTCCCAAGTTGTGGGGCCAATGATACACGACACGAAGAATAGAGTCATTCTGTCGGAGTGGGAGATCGATGTTAACGTAAATGTAACATAAGGTCAAGTATAGCTAACAGGATGAGGGACCGCAAGCCTTGCGGCGCAGAGCACAGCCAAGGCAGTTTCGTGGGTATCCACAGAGTGGTGTACAGTTACTGGCAATGTTGACCTCAGCTTCGTCCTGAATTGAAACTCGGTTACTTCTATGCAACGATAAGGCGCTAGGACCCGGGGAGGGAGGAGGTACCACAGCTACCTCAAGTCGATTCAATGTTTAACCCGACTTTTCAATAATTGATGCACTCCTTTTGAAAAATAATCCCTTTTTCAATTTTCAACCTACTGTTTTTGATAAATCACTGTGAGTTTAATGAAGTAGCTTATGATCTTGGGAAAGTGCCTTGTTCCATAGATTATGGACCATAGTGGAATGCTTCAATACAGCGAAGATGTTCATATCCTCTATTGGGAGGTAATGCTCTGCGTGCCGGCCCTCCCTCGAACGCATGAGTCATGGAACAAGTTGTTCCGAACAACACTCTCGCGGTATCATAGCAGACACACACGAGAGCAAGGGAGTAATGAAGTGCCTGTATAGTCCGATGCTAACTGTTCTTAAGGCAGTGTCTTCAGTCATTAAGGCGTGCAGGAGCATTGCGTACTATTCAAGTCGTCGAAGTCGCCTTCTTGCTGTATAAATGCGTCGAGAAACAGTTTGAGTGTACGCAAGCTGCGCAGTATGATGAATCACCGAGGAGACAGGACTTGTGAGATCAAAAAGCTTAAGTTTGACTACTAGCGTCAGAGCCAAAGATGCCGTTGACATATCCGATGGGGGATGGGTGCGTTGGATAGACGTGTTTGAGTAAGAATCTCTTTTGACTTCGTGCGCTCAGCTCTATTTTGTTTTTCTCAAACTTCCTGTGTACGACAATGGTCTACGAAGCTCCTCATTTGAAGATCAGGGAAGGTTCCATCAACTCTGTTGTCTGCGTGGTTGGTGATCCTGGTCGCGCTGAGTTGATTGCCACTAAGTATTGTGACTCGTACGAAGAGCTTGCCTATAATAGGGAGTATCGCACCTACAATGTCGAGTTCGAAGGTGCTAAGTTCTCTGTTGCCTCTCACGGTGTTGGTGGCCCCGGCTGTGCCATTTGCTTCGAAGAGCTCATCAAGTGCGGCGCTAAGGTCATCATGCGTCTCGGAACCGCTGGTTCATTGAGACCTGAAACTATCAAGCAGGGTGATTTGATTGTCACCACCGGCTCTGGCGCTGAGGATGGTGCTTCCCAGTACCTTGTCCCTGCTGGCTTCCCCTGTGTGGCCGATCCTGCTCTTTGTATCGCCATGCGTGATACCGCCAAGTCTCTCGGATACGAGCGTGTTCACTTCGGTATTACTCTCGCCTCGGCTGTGTTCTATCCCAGTCCAGCTGTCGAGCAGACATTGGTGAGCAACGCCGCTGCCGGTGCTATCGGTGTCGAGATGGAGAACTCTGCTCTCTTCGCCGTTGCGTCCATCAGAGGTATCCGTGCTGCTGCCATCTCAACCGTTGATGGCTGCCCCCTCAAGTGGGATGAGGGTGACTATGATCCGGCTGGAACCACCGTTACCGATGGTAAGGAGCGTATGATCAAGACTGGTATTAATGTTGCTAAGCGCGTTGTCTTGGAAAACTTGTAACTGTATCAAGTTTCTAGTTTCGGAACATGACCAGCAGCCTGGAATCGGGCAGTAGGTCTTGTACTGGATTAGTGTGTATGGATAGTGAGTGTATTCTATAACCCTAAGCATTGAGGTATTGAGTTGTTGATATTTATTCATTGCGAACGTTTGCGTGCACGGGGTCGGTAACTCAGTTCCGATCAAGTTAATCATAAACGAGCGGATCAGTCCTCACCTGTTGCGAGGGTCATAACGGATCTATTGCAATCCGTTCGATGAGTAATCACTACTATGGAGGACTTGAGCACCAAGCGATGTTCGTGAAATTGCGTGTCCATGGTAGAGCTGTCATATGAAAGTCGCATTCATGTGTTCACGTAAGTGTGTTCATGTATATGTTTTTCAAGTCCTTGGCTGTTAAAAAGCTAAACTTGTCTCACTGAGGTAACTGTGCTACTTCAAGATATGCGTCAATAGTACATTCAGTTCGGAAGAATCACGAGAAGGTGATATCAATCCTGTTGTATAGATGGGCAGCGTAACGTTTTTTTACGGTTTACGTTACGGCGTGCGTAACATAAGCAGTTGACGGTTACGGAAAGGCCTTACGACTTTACGGTTGGTGCTGAACTGCTTTTTTAAAATTGTGGCGGAAAGATTCGCTGTAATGCACTCCACGATAGTTCAAATAGTTGTTAAACTCATTTCTTGTGGCTCGAATTCAACCGAGCCGCTGAGAGAGTAGCCTTTGGTTTCGCATTTACCACTCGTCTCCTTTGCAAATCTCGCCCATCATAGTCCCAAGCTGGCCCGGAACTGCCAAGCCAGCTTCGTCTACCGATGGGCATTCACACAAGATAGATTCAGGCGACTTGAATGATCAATCCTCGTTTTGTCCTCTGGATCTCCATAAAGCCCGTTATGGCGCCGTAATTTTACGGTACGGAGCTTGAGCCGTAACCGCAAAAGTGAGCCGCAACAGTCCGTAACGTAATTGTGCCCATCTATATCCTGTTGGTATGTTTGAAGTGATTCGGATTTCGACCAAGAGGAGAGATCACTCCCGCATTTGCGGAGGTGGTGGTGGTAGTCAAAGGCCCGACATCACTTGGTGGTTTAGTCAGACCGTACCGAGATCTACGATCGAGGAATGAATTGCAATTGAACGCACATACCCTCGAAGGAAGATAACTTCTCTTCTCCAACTTGGGATCTGTATTCTTATAGCTGTAATCATACCACTTCTAATATTCAGAGATGAGCGCCTCGGATTTCCTCGAATGGATTGGAAAGATGATCGTGGCATAGTTGCCCCGCTTGGATAAATTGGGCGTTTTGATGTATTGCCATGATTGGACTTGGAAAATTGGCTGTGAGATAGCTGCCCCACCTCGACGAATCGTTTGCAGGGAGGCAACGTTAGGGGTGGCATGGCTGCACACTCGGAAGAATTGCAATAAGATTTATCTCGGGATGGCATAGTCGCTCCGCCTAGAGTTACTGATTTTCCTAATGCATATCTTGGGTTGGCATAGTTGCCCCGTCTAGAGTAACTGATTGTCCCAATGCATATCCTGGGGTGGCATAATTACCCCGTCTAGAGTACCTGATTGTCCTAATGCATATCCTGGGCTGGCATAATTGCCCCGTCTAGAGTACCTGATTGTCCTAGTGCATATCCTGGGCTGGCATAATTGCCCCGTCTAGAGTACCTGATTGTCCTAATGCATATCCTGGGCTGGCATAATTGCCCCGTCTAGAGCACCTGATTGTCCTAATGCATATCCTGGGCTGGCATAATTGCCCCGTCTAGAGTACCTGATTGTCCTAATGCATATCCTGGGCTGGCATAATTGCCCCGTCTAGAGTAACTGATCGTCCTACTGCATACCTTGGGGTGGCATAGTTGCCTTGCCTAGAGAAACTGATTGTCCTAATGCATATTTTGGTCTGGCATAGTTGCCCCACCCAGACGAATTGATGGTACAAGGCCATATCCTGCGATGGCATAGCTGCCCCCCCGGATTGATTGCACCAATAACGAAACAAACCTTAGAGAAATTCGCCTTATGTCAAAAACCTCGACTCTGGTATCTATATGTTATAAAGCTAGAGCGTTTCGTTTTTCCGGTACAAGCGATATCCTATGGGAGCCAATACATCAAACTTAACCTTCACGTTCAAAAATCTGCGAATGTAAAGAAATACCGCTCGACTACTGCAGTAGTCCTACACCACTGCAGAGGATCTTGACCCAGGGATGGGGACGAATTGTGTCAGCTGCTCAGCCAGTAGCTAATGAACGATAGATTCGGAACGGAATCTCATCCGTCATTCAGTATGTGCTATTCAAGCATTTCTCCATCCGAGTGGTCGTTAAGGAGTGGTTTGTCTTAGTTATTCATTTTTCTCGTTCTCTCTACAATGGTCTACGAAGCTCCTCATTTGAAGATCAAGGAAGGTTCCATCAACTCTGTTGTCTGCGTGGTTGGTGATCCTGGTCGCGCTGAGTTGATTGCCACTAAGTATTGTGACTCGTACGAAGAGCTTGCCTATAATAGGGAGTATCGCACCTACAATGTCGAGTTCGAAGGTGCTAAGTTCTCTGTTGCCTCTCACGGTGTTGGTGGTCCCGGCTGTGCCATTTGCTTCGAAGAGCTCATCAAGTGCGGCGCTAAGGTCATCATGCGTCTCGGAACCGCTGGTTCATTGAGACCTGAAACTATCAAGCAGGGTGATTTGATTGTCACCACCGGCTCTGGCGCTGAGGATGGTGCTTCCCAGTACCTTGTCCCTGCTGGCTTCCCCTGTGTGGCTGATCCTGCTCTTTGTATCGCCATGCGTGATACCGCCAAGTCTCTCGGATACGAGCGTGTTCACTTCGGTATTACTCTCGCCTCGGCTGTGTTCTATCCCAGTCCAGCTGTCGAGCAGACATTGGTGAGCAACGCCGCTGCCGGTGCTATCGGTGTCGAGATGGAGAACTCTGCTCTCTTCGCCGTTGCCTCCATCAGAGGTATCCGTGCTGCTGCTATCTCAACCGTTGATGGCTGCCCCCTCAAGTGGGATGAGGGTGACTATGATCCGGCTGGAACCACCGTTACCGATGGTAAGGAGCGAATGATCAAGACTGGTATTAACGTTGCTAAGCGCGTTGTCTTGGAAAACTTGTAATTATATTTACTCTCAATTTGCTACGAGGGGTAAGACTAGTAGCCTGGAATCGGGTCGCAGTCTTCTCCGATTTTTTGTGTGTATATAGCGATGACTGAGTCGTTCTCTCTACCCTATGTTGCGTCGTGTTTGAATGCGGTCAATGTGTGTTGGGATGGAGGTATGGTTAGGCTGTAAAGGCCAGACACACGAACCTTATTAACTCTCTCATGTTAGACCCACGTCTATTCCAGGAATGTCTTCCTCACGCCCTTGCACAGATTTTTTCTCCAGACTAATCAGCGAGGCGTAGTTCCAGTTCATCGCACAGCCTGAATTTGGTACAGAAGAGAGTAGATCTAAATAGCAAAAATTGAGACTGTTCAGTAGCCATTTTTCACTGATATACTCAATCGTAGAGCCTCCTGGCCGTTACCTTCGAGTAGACGCTATGCATCTGCCTGTCTCCCACCATCTGTCGGGGAATACTTTCTCTCTATCCGAACGATACTTTGCTAATATCATTACTCACCACGTCTCTGCACTACTGCACGTCTCTAATCACATACGAGCCTTTTCATATAGGAAGAGAGGCTCAGCAGATAGTAAAAGAAGCACCGCAGTCGGTCCTACAAAATAAGAGCTCTGAAGGTGCAGAGAAGAGACGCAGAGAAGTAGTAGAAGTTAAAAGTACGAAGGTGCAGTGATGTAAAACAATCATCACAAGGAGACCGCATTCAGCCTCAGGCTGCCGTAGTCGCTGTAGCATCCACGCGCTGATCTCCGTGAACACTATTCGGCACCGACACTTGCCCTTCCACATTCTCGTCCACGAATCGTCGAAGAGAAATGCTCCCTCTTCTTCGCTTAGTTGCTTCACTCGATGTACCCCTGGTCCTCAGCCCATGAAGGCGGCTCAAACGACTCGTCTAAATCAGAATCGACCAAATCGATGATTTCATGGAACCCGTGTACTTAGTCTCCAACAAGGGCCCAATCAGGGGGGCATCTCCTTCAGGACGAGGACCAAAGCAGGAATCATCGTCCTCTCGGAGCTTAAAAACTACAGCCACTTCGGAGGGAGGGAGTACTACCTCGTATGCTGTTGCCGACTCCCCAGAAGATCCTTCATGCTCACTGTTAGGCCGACACTCGGTAGCAGCACCCTTGGATGGAAGCTGTCTAACATCAGGTCTCTCCACAAAAGAAGCGACCCTTCCAACAGTCGTCTTTGGCACAGTGCGCGGCGAAGCGTAGCGAAGTACTGTATGAAAGACGGGCGATTCATTGGCGTAGGCAAGGGCTTCGAATCCTCCGGATGACCACCATTGATCTCGAGGCTTGGATGATGCTCGAGCGCATATCATGGCAGATTCTGGTGGACCAAATCACGACTATGGGTTGACTGGTGTTTCATCGTCGAGAACACTTCTGTGTGATGCGATTCGTTCGACACTGTCATCCTCGGCGGCATCATGAATCCTTCAGCTCTGTTCAACTCTACTACTCGTCGAGTAGAGTTTCGTACGTTGCCATTCATTCCAGTCC